AGGCTTTCACACACCAACCACACGATGCATGGCGTCCGTCCTGTTCCTCCTTGTCTGGCACCATCAGTCTCCCTGCCCCCTGCTAGTTCACTTGCTATGCGTCTATTGTTTGCCTTTCCACCTAGCTGGCAAGTTTCCCGAGGGCAGGGCCTGTGGCTGGTTCTCTTTGTAACCCCGCCCCACACACAGCACGTAAATGGTGCCAAGAAGCCATGCTGATCAAACCCCAGACTGACTCTTAGGTGAGGCCCGTCTGGCATGCGAGTAAACGTGAACAGAGGCGACGTGAAGGGAGTGGGATGCTTGGCTGCCACCCGGAGAACCATGCAGAGTCCCCCACTCCTGGGAAAAGGGCCCCAGTACCTTGATGGTTATAAGACTCAGGAGGCTGCAGGATTTAGGAAGCAGGGAGGTAAGGTGATTCGTGTGGACAATCAACACCTGTGTGGGAAAGATTTTCCGCATGTTAGGGTGAGAAAGAGCAGCAGTGGGGACAGCTGAGGGCCGCAGTCAGCTCAGCGCAGGACGCACGTGGCCTAGCCCAGGCCTGCCCTGCCCTGCCTTCTCTGCTCTCCCTGATGCCATAGTGGGGGATGGGATCTCCAAAGTGGAATCAGGTGACCTTAATTAAGACCTGGAATTTCAAGGGTGAAAGGGACTTGAGAGGGCTAAATCTACCTTCCATTCTGAGATGAGATCCCCTGCAGTTGTCCTGATCTTACCCTCCCTCAGCTTCAGTGTTTTCACACAGAAAATAGGGTATAATGAAGTACCTGCCTCCGAGGGCTGCCGTGATGGTTAACAAGCTAATAGACCAAAAGCACTTGGTCCCGAGCTGGCACGTGGCCCAGTGCTCAATCCGTGTCATCTGTTGCCATTTTTGTTAATTCATGCCATTGACGCTGCATGAATGCTTCCAGTGTCAAGAAGCTCACTGCTCTGTTGGTAAGGAGCACTCCTCACTTCCCTTCATCTAGGTAATCCATTTAGAATATTCTTACCTAGCTGCATTCAAGGCTGCACAAACTTTCTGAACAACTATTCATTCCACTCTTAATCTCCCCGGGTGACCCGAATGAAGTGAGTGCAGTTTTTATTATTAATAACAATTAGTGTTTACTCTGTGGCAGTTATTATACTCTGTGCATTTATAGCTCTGTGTCGACCTACCCCTCTATCTGTCACTCATTCGAGTTTCACTGTATCGCTGTGAGAGTGAAGCTATGAATATTTTCACTTCATAGATGAAGAAACTAAAATGTAAGAGTTTAAGGAAGTTGCCCAAGTCATGAGGAGTAGAGCCAGGATGTGGCCCAGGGCCACCCAATGTCAAGGGCGGCTCTCCTAGCTGTGAAAAGGCCTGCTGGAGGTGGATCAGAGAGAAGGGTGATACCAGGAGGAGAGCTCCTAAAAGTCCCAGCTGATATCAAACAAGCAAACATCCAATAAACAATTCTCTGACAACGAAGACCCGTCTCACCTTTTTCTGTAGAACTTTGCATGTTGAAAAAACCCCAAATGGAATCTAAGATAAGATAAAGAAGAGTCAGTGCCTCCTTGCCAGTTCTAAATTTGTTTTCTGAGTGGCACACGTGTGAGGGAGAGATGGGGCAGGAGGCGAACAATGCCAAGTGCTGGGCGTTAAGCACACGGAAAGGCTGGTGAGGAATGTTGCTTGGGGTATGGTCAGCCCTCCCTTTCAATCAGCTGGCAGGAGATTGCCCTGCCTGGCCCTAGCCCACCCACCCCACCCCCATCATCAATTCTATTAGGGGCTAAAGAAAGATCTCTGGTGCTTCGCAGAGGCTAGAGAAACCCAGAGTCTCCCAGGACCCTAGGAATCTGTGGGTACATTTTCTAAGTAGACTCCTTGACCCGTGAAGACTATGTTGAGGCCTGCGATCATCTCAATTCTTTTGGACAGGCCAAAATCTAAGGAAACATCTTAACTAGTGCGTCTGGACTTTTTTTTTTTTTTTTTTTTTTTTTTTTTTTTTTTTAGCTGAGCCATCCTGCCACCTGTTGGCAGCTCAGCGGCAGCTCAGCTTGGGCAGTGAATCAAACCAGGCATCTGGACTTTTTAAAGCCCAGTCCACATCTGTCTTTCCCAGGGACATGGGATTCAAGAAAAAAGGACAGATTGAATTCACAGTCAGAACGCCACACCAATTTACCTCTGAGAGCTCACATTTAGAGATGTCAAGAATGTCATCTGCCCCAGCTTCTTTTGCCTAAGGATAAAAATAATTTGAAAAAAAAAAAAGTGTTCAAATCATCTTTGCAGCGCGGACAAACCAGGCAAAGAAACAGGATTACGACTCTACAAAGGACCACGGACAGCAGCTGGTTCAACTTGTCCATTTTGTAGGCTTTAAAGGGGCTTGAGGGCCAGCAGGGAAGAGCAAATGGACAAGTGATGACAGGTGTGATCAGTCTCTGGTGGGAAGTACAGGGCACTCCCGTCCTTGACAGGCAGCCGCATCGGTCTGCTCTGAGTCAGACATTTCCTCTGGGCGTGGGGAAGGCTGATGGGAGGAAGCAAATTTCGTTTGGGAGGCAGTGTGGAGCCCTGTTTCGTGCGGGCAGAAGCGGAGAAGGGGATGGACTCAGAGGAAACCCGTTTTCCCTCACCAGACACATCTGGTACTCCAGGCGTTTCCGAGCCTCCTCACTAGGTTTCCGCTTCCTGAAGAAGAGTGGCATCCTTCCTTCTTCCTGGAGCAACCTGCACGACGCTAGGGCATAGGAGAAAAGTTAGGGCCTGGGGAATTTGTCACAGGCCCCAACACCCAGGACAGGCAGCACAGTAACACAGAGCACATAGCTGGGTTGCTGGACTGTATGTTCCTTAAGGGCAGGGGCTGTGCTGTGTCCATCTCGACCATCACTCTGTGCCCTGAGCCAGGCACAGCAGGTGCTCAGTACTTTTTGTTCTGTGTTGACTAAACAATAAGCAGCACTACATGGTGGAAAGAGCACAATGGCAAGCCAGGCGGCCTGCGTTCGGGCCCACATTTGCCATCAGCCACTACGAGACGTGGGCATACCTTTGCCCTGTTCCGGGCGCCCATCTCTACTCCACGTTAAACAAGCTGGGGGTTGACCTAGAGATGTTTCCGCAGGTCCTGTCCAAGGGTGCTCTTTGAGGACTCTGACAGGCTGGCCTGATGAATCACTTCTATCCTCTGAAACATTGTCAGGATGGCATCAGCCAGCCACGACCTTGGGGAGCTCAACTACATCATAACCAAAGAGATTTTTAAAAATAAAAATCCAACAGCAATTCTCAGGCACCTTACCACTCTCACAGTTATTATCACATCTGATTCTCACCACACCTCTGTTTATAGTGATGAAACTGATAATCATCGCGTTCAGTGACCTGGTTATAAAGCCTGGGTGTAGCAAAACCAGTCTGGAGTTCTGCTCTTTCGAGACCCGATCCTGTGGATTTGTCCAACTCGTTGGTGCTCAAATAACTTAGCACACACTAAGTACACTGTCCTGAACTCGGAAGCCAGGTGCTCGCTGCCTGCCCAGCATCTGCACATATCAGCAGTTGATAACGGATATAGATGGGCCAGGAAGCAACAATCTAAGGAAGCTTATGGTTGCCAGCACGGGCTTTGGGATGAAATACAACTGGGTTTGAATCCCAGATCTGCCACCCACCAACCGTTCACCTTGGTTCACCTCTCTGAGCCTCAGTTTCCTCATCAGTAAAGTGTGAGTAATAATGTTACCAACACCTGATTCTATGAGGATCCAGTGATATAGAGTATGGAAAGCCCATAGCACAATCCCTAGGACATAATGAGTGCTCCATAAATGTTAGCCACATAGTAGCACCACACATCTAACAAAGTTATTCAGTGCCTACTACAGTTTCAGGAGCTAGGGAGAAGAGGGCTAAGGAGGAGATACAGTTGAAGAACACACACACCCAGTCCTCAGGGGGAGGGGTAGAGATCACAGGTTTCCACCCACAGGGGCATGAGCTATCCGGGGAGCCGGCCAAGACTGCGGAACTGGCTCAGGCCCCTCTTGTCACCCCACCTGCCTGCAAGGATGGGGAGTAGTCTAAACACAGCCTCCCCCATCCTTCCCATGACCAGCTCTTAATCTTCTGCTCCCCAATGACTAACCCTCCTTCACCCCCTCCCGCAAAGTCCAGACCCCTCTGCCTCCTCCCCAGTGACCATTCCTCCCTCACATCTCCCAGATCAGCTCTTCCCAACCTGATCCCATGTCCATCCCTCATCCACCCCGTCCTCCAACATCCTGCAAAGATGGGGAGAACCACACCCTTCTTCTTCTGGCTGGAGTGGGGAGTGCCTGCCTGACCTGGTCCCGGACGATCGTCCCCTCTGGTGAACCTGAAGGCAGGCCGATCACTCGTAGGGCTTGGTCATGGACGCTGGTCGCGGACCACCTGGCACGAGCCCCGGTGGATCCCGAGACTGGTCTCCCCCAAACGCAGCAGCGGGGCACCGAACTCAGAATCACAGAAAGTCATGCAGACCAGGATGACGAAGTCTGAGGCTCTGAGAACCGCAGAATCTTAGAATTAAGAGTCAGAACGGATTTGGACCCGAAAAAATTGTTTTGGTAATTAAAATGCACACATCACGAGGCAGTGAAAAGGGGTCCGGGGTCGCTGTGGCCCTGGGGTCTCGGAATGAGGGTGCGGACCTCTCAGGGAAGGGGCGGGGCGCTGGGATTAGGTGACAGGGACCATGGGTGACCCTCATAAGGAAGAATAGGGAACAGCGAGGCCTGGGATCTTGGGGGCAGCCCTCTCTTGTCGGCCTCCCCTGGGCAAACTGCCCTGAACTCCCTTCCTAGCCCCTAGCCCCTAGCCACAGCTCACCGCGGTGCCAGGTTCTCCACTCGTCAGCCTCTGGTGTGTGCCCTCAAGCAACATGGCGGCAAGGGCGTCGCTGGGAGGCTGGGCGGAGCCGGCGGCTCTCGCGACAGCCGCGCTTTCCTGCCTACATCCGGCGTAGTCACGGGGCTTCCGGTCTTTCGGCTTTCGGCTCGGAGGAGGCGAGGTGCAACTTTCTTCGGTCGTCCCGAATCCGGGTTCATCCGACACCAGCCGCCTCCATCATGCCGCCGAAGTTGGACCCCAACGAGATCAAAGTCGGTGCGTGCTTTAGATGTGGCCGGGGCCGCGGGATGGAGCAGCCCTTTTCCCCGCCGCCCGTCGGGCCTGCGGCCCCGCCGCAGTTGCCTTTCCCACACCGGGCTTTCAAGCCGCTGCCTGCTAGAGGCCTTTGCGGTGCAGCAGTCAGGGCGCTGTGAAATCCTGACCGAGTCTCTGACTCTTTCTGGGCCTCAGCTCCCCCACGTGCACATGGGGAGGGAGGACCCGACGACTTGTGGCGGCTTTGCGGCCCGCACGCCTTAGGGTAAGGTTTGTTCCCGGGCGCATCCCACGGTAGACTGGGTTGGCTGGCGGTTCGGATGCATCCACGCTGGCCCGTGTGGGTCTCGGCAGCCTCAGCTGAACCGAAGGCCGCTGTCCCACGTGGCGCTTGGCGCTGCCCACGCCTAAGGAGGGGGTGGCCTGCCTCGCTCCCCGCTGAGGCTCGAGGTGCTGTTTTGGGAAGAGTCACAGGTGGTGTGGTTACTACCCCCGAAACGATGCGGAGAGAGGCATTAAGTCGTTTTTTTCTCCTAGTATACCTGAGGTGCACCGGTGGGGAAGTCGGTGCCACGTCCGCGCTGGCCCCCAAGCTCGGCCCCCTGGGTCTGGTAAGTCATTCTCGTAGAGGGACTTTTCTTAACTTCTATGAGAAGAGCAGTTAGGTTGTGGCTTGTGCGGATAACGGGTCCGGGATATCTATCCAGGGTCACACCTCAGTCACTGAATTGGCACTGGGTGCGGTGGAAAGGTTATACATGAAATGCAAACCCGGTACCATGAAGCAGTAACGTATTCTCCACTGTTAACCGCTGCTGTGAGGATTTGAAGTTGATTGGCTTAGTGACACAGCCTGTGGACTACTCAGGGAATGGGTATATTGCTGTTGGGAAGATTAAATGGGACATGAATGAAGATTCTGGTGTACGTTATGATAGTTTGTATTTTCTCTACAATAAACCTACTGGTTAATATAACTCGCTTTACCTGTGACCAGCCTCATTCACCTGCTTTTCCGTTTTTTTTTTGGTTTTTTTTTTTTTTTTTTTTTTTTACTAGATTTGCATTTCCCTAAATATCATTAGGCCTTTATTCCTTACATAGACGTCTGTCCACATGCTCTCAAACTTGGTCTTGTTTAGGCAGTCTTAATATTCTTCCTTGGCCCTTAGCTCAGTTGGTATTCACGGGACATACTTGTTTAGGCTAGTGGTCACTAGGAAATTCCGAAGTGGCATGTGCCCAGGTGTCCCATCCCAGTAGATGGACTTGGATTGGTCTGACACAGGAACCTGATATCGCTAAAGCTTCCCAGATGATTCATATGTAACCAGAGTTGAGAGTTCGTACGTTACCACGTGGGTCCTTATAAGAGGGCAAGTGGGTAAAGGACTTTGTCCCATTATGGCCCTGGGTCTGCATCTTACAACTCTGAACAAACCTCGCCTCTAGCGTCATTTTCCCCAATTTGTATACACTGTAGTGACAGTTTTGATGGGGTAGATATAGTTACGTGCCTCAGGTTCCTGTGTGCTTCATAAGGAGGAAGACGGCAGGTTTTCAGACTACTTCAACTTTGGGCACAATGTGATTACGTACTTTTATTTCTACAGTCTCCGAAAAAGGTTGGTGATGACATCGCCAAAGCAACTGGTGATTGGAAGGGTCTGAGGATAACCGTGAAACTGACCATTCAGAACAGACAGGCCCAGGTACATGGTGTGAGGGAGGGCAGAGGTAGCAACTCCCTGGGGTTTCTGGGTGGAAGGTTTCTGCTGACATGGCCACCTGCATCCAGTGGTTGAGAGCAGTTGATCTGGGGAGGGCTTTTCAAGAGCATGGACCACGGTCTCAAATAGTAACTCTTTGTCACTTGTGTGACTGGGCAAATCACTTAATGTCTCCTAGCCTAGGACATGTTTCTCAGACGGTGAAAATTATTTGAGAATGCACAGCAAATCCAGTGGGGCCCATGGTCTCTTTAAGAACCAAGTTGTATGGCAGTATTGTCTTCATTGGAGAGTGGGGTAGGGCTTATTCACATTGAGAATCTCTCTTGCAGATTGAGGTGGTACCTTCTGCCTCGGCCCTGATCATCAAAGCCCTCAAAGAACCGCCAAGAGACAGAAAGAAGCAAAAAAACAGTGAGTGGCTTTTTCCCTGGTAAACGGGGTTTGTGAGTGGTGGTGTCTGTGAAGTGCTTCATGCATAGCTGCATCTTTTTAACAAAATCTGGGGATGGCATGGGGATTTGATGTTAGGCTGTTAGAGAGCCAGGCACTACCAAGAAGTGCCATGTAGGAGGGAACTGGGCAGGGTGAAGCAACTGAGAATGACGACCACTAATTAGGGGAGACCACTTCTGAGCTGGATGTTACTCTAAACAGCTTAACTAGCCCCAGTCACTTAAACTTGTCTTCTCATCTCTCAAGTCTCTTTCATGTAAGATTAGCAAAGACCTGGCTTTGCCCGGAGCCCAGCCACCCGCCACTGCACCTGACCAGTTGTGTTGGCTGGTGCATTCCAGTGGTGAGCTGATATAAACCCCAGCTTAGGAAACAGGGTTATTCTTCATGTGGATGACTCTGTGCCGAAAGCCTGGGAACAGCCCAGAAATGGCTGAGGGGAGGACACGTGGTCTGCTCTGCTCTGGCTTGGGTTGTGACATGGCCTTTGCTGTTTTCTTTTCTTCTCTTCTGCAGTTAAGCACAGTGGGAATATCACTTTTGATGAAATTGTCAGCATTGCCCGACAGATGCGGCACCGATCTTTAGCTCGAGAACTCTCTGGTAAGAGCAGGACAAGATGGAACCACCTAAATTGTGATATGAGGCATATTCACTGAGTGGTAGCATTTTCCCACTTAGAGTGGGTTTAATTCTGTAAGACCCCAAATTTGGGGTGCAGAGTCCTCTGAGTTTGAAAGAATGGCTTAATCACGTTGGAGATTTTGGGCTGGATGTGTTTAATCTGGGTATCAAGGGTCCCATGGAAACATGGCATTCAGGGCTCAGATAACTAAACGGAACTCCAAATTTGGGATTAGAAGAACAGGGATATTCCTGGTATTTTATAATATAGTTATTCCTCTCATCTGTGAAACTAAAGTATTTCTTCAGTGGTATCTGAGGATTGTGAGGGGCTGACAGCCCCATCTGATGCTACCTTTCTTTATTTTTTTTTAAATTATTTTTTAATTGAGGAAGGGAACCAGCCAAGTCGTTGTTCTTCAATCTCCGTTGTGGAGGGCGCCAGTCACCAGCTGGCTACCCATTGGCAGCTTGTGGGCTCTAAGCTCAAGGTGCTGTGTTCAGTCTTAGTTGTGGGTGGGCGTAGCCACCATCCCATGTGGGAGTCGAATCAGCAGCCTTGTTAAGAGTGCACGCTCTATCCACTGAGCCATCTGGGTTGCAGCTCAACTCAAGGTGCGGCGTTCAGTCTTAGTTGCGGGCAGGCAAAGCCCACCATTGAACAGGCAGTCTTCTTGTTAAACCAGCTGAGCCATCCTGCCACCTGTTGGCAGCTCAGTTACAGCGTCACTGGCCCATGTGGGAATCAAACCGGTGGCTCTGTTGCTCAGAGCTTGCGCTCTTAAGTTAACTCTTAATTAACTGAGCCACCTTTTCTTAATTATAGGAACCATTAAAGAGATTTTGGGGACTGCCCAGTCTGTGGGCTGCAATGTTGATGGCCGCCACCCTCATGACATCATAGATGACATCAACAGTGGTGCAGTGGAATGCCCAGCTGTAAGTGACGTTCGCGTCAGTTTCATTTGCTTAGAATCTGGGTGCGAGCAGGAGAGGCGCTAATGTATTCATGGAGATAAACAGGAATGTTCTGGAAATGGTCAGTAGTGGGATTGAGAGATTTTGTTTGTCCTATCACTGATAGGATTTCTTTTTTTCTTTCCCACAGAGTTAAGAACTACAAAGGAAAATATTTCAATTAAAGAGCATTTGGCAACCAGTGGACTTGTTGTGGCCTCTTCCCTGGGGCACCTAGCGCCCTTGTGGTCAGCTGATGAGTGGGGCCGAGGTGGCAGAACCTGTGAGGGTAGCAATCTGGGCAGTAAGCTCCTGTGGGTAACAGATTTCTGCCCCGTATGGGACTAGTGTAGGAGAGACATCGAGAGAGGAGGTTTCTGCTTTTTGTAGAGATGTGGAGCTCTTTGTTAAGTAATTTTTGGCCAGAAGGAAAAGTAGTAGTTCAGCATAAACTCAGATCACTGAATTAGTCATTGGTGGGTTGGGCCACGGGTCCGTAATTCAAGGCTTCAATTCAAGGCTTCGATACTCATTACAACTCACAGCTGGGGTTCAGAATTAACTAATGGGACAACAGAAACCTGGCCTTTTTTTTTTTTTAATCACAAGTCCTTGGTTGATTCCAGCATTCTGTGAAAGTGAGGGTAATGTTTACTGCTGAAGTTAGCTGCAGTTCCTAGCCTTTGCATTCTGTGAACCTGTTTGCTTTAAGCCAGTAACAGACTATCTTCTGTGTTTTCTTTCACCGTCCCGTCTCTTCCTCATCTCGCCTTAGTTTTGTTCCTTTTGAAACAATTAGAGCTTATCACTCACTTTTTTTTTTTAAAGATTTTATTGGGGAATCGGGGAAGGGGAACAGACAAGTTGCTGTCCTTTTTTTTGTTCTTCAATCTAGTTGTGGAAGACATCGCTTCACTGGCCCATGTTGGTATTATCATTGCGCTCTTCCCGGGTGAGGCAGATCGGTCGCCGGTCTCTGGACGGCCACTCACAGCAGCTCTTGGCAGCTCACGCCGGTTGCCAGCCACTTAGGGTAGCTTATGGCAGCCCACTGCAGCCTACGCTGCCACCTGCTCATGGCAGCCCAGCTCCAGGCTGAGCTGTTGTTCACCATCTTAACTGTAGAGGGCGCAGCATCACTGGCCCTCATGTGGGATCTGAACCGGGACCCTGGTGCTCAGAGCTGGCATCCCAAGCCAACTTCTAACCAATGTGCCACTCTGCCGGCCCTCATTCTCACTTGATTAGACATGTGAATGGACACCTGGGCACTGACTGGGACAAGCCACAGTCGCTGGAAGCACCACCTGGTCACTACCCTAAAGGCAGTGGGGAGTGATTAACCCAAGAACCTCATTTCCCCGCCATTAGTCATTTGTAGGTGGGTTTTAATGACCCCAGCTGGAATCAGGGTTGGAGTAACAAACTACCTTTAGTGGAAAGGATGACCTGAATCAGTGAGGGAAGGGTAAGCGTTCCAGGAGACGTGCCAAGTCACCTGAGGAACCAAGGCTAGAGGCCTTGGGTGAGGACAGTTGAGGACCCAAGCTTCCCTTGTAGCAAAAGACAGTCATGGGAAGTCAAATGCCTACCTAACCCCAAATCAGGGAGGCACACAGGACTCAGAAGTGCTGAGGTGAGGTCACCAGTTGGCTGTGAAGTCGGTATAAATGTCACGGGTAGGGCCCAGGTCAGTGCACAGGAAGAAGGCCAAGGGTAAAATCTTGCTCTAAGGAAACTGAACTGTTTTCCAATGAGGGGAAAGAAGTGAAGATAAGCCACCTGCCCCTGAGTCAGGGAAAACGTGGCTGTCAACAGGTTGTCCCTCCTTGTTAGTCTCCTGAGAAAGGGATGTGCTTTATGAGAAGTTGGAGTAGCTTATGACACCCTCAGCTTCACTGTCCTTCCTTCTCAGACTGGTTTCTGTTTTTTCTTTAGCTGAGCCATCCTGCCACCTGTTGGCAGCTCAGCTTGGGCCGCGAATCGAACCGCTATTGCTCAGAGCTTGCACTCTTTTTTTTTTTTTTTTTTTT